CTATCTTCATGCTCTTTCAGCAGCCACCTATTCTTTGTTTCGTCACTGCTTGCATCTCATTTCCTAAAGAGTAATGTGTCCTCTTATCCCTTTTCTTGCTGCATTAGGAATTTCTAATAAGAAAACTGGGATGTTAAAGGCAGTGGCTGTGCAGCCCCCAGAGCCTGGAGGAATTGAAGCAGAAGCATGACCTCTCCAGAGGCACCTCACCTCCTTTCTGGCCCACAATGTGTAGGGAAGGAGCACGATCCTCCCACAGAGGGACCCCAAAATAGCTACCTGCACGGACACGCACCTTCCAAACTAAGATTGCCTCATTTTGCCATAATTTAAAACCCTTAACAACAAATGAACAGCTATCCTCTTGAATGTTTTCTAAATCTCATCCAAAAAGTGGATAAAAAGACGGCAGCTCAGTTTTTTCCAGGAAGAGCACCCTGCAGGCACCCTTTTCTCCTCACAGCCCCAACGATGGGCTCCAGGCAGATACCTCACAACTGTTACGAGTGGTGAAGGCCACGTCTGACTGTGGGGCTGATCTAGGGACGGACTAGAGTCCATTAGGACTTCCTTGCTCTTCCATCAAAACCCAGCAGGTATCTCGCAAACATCAGTAGCAGCAGGACTCTCCCAAAAACCAGGAACCTCATATTTTGCTCCGAGCTTTCTTTGTGGAAATTGTATGGGTTTGGCTTTTTTTTTTCCTTCTTCAAAAAAATCTGAATAGGAGACCGAGTGGTTTTAGAGCTAACCAAAAGCACAGACCAACTGATCACTGAACCCAATACAGCAATTGAAGGGATTCACATGCAGTCCTCCGACTTCTCCAGTTCTTTCTGGCAGGTTATTTCCCTTAAAAACGGCAGTTAAAAGGTTTTCCACAGCAACTCTCATATTTAACTGTGTGGAACAGCATAAATGCTGGCGAAAAATTATAAGCAACAACATCTGACTCCCACTGAAGACCTTCCTTCTTCCCTGCACGTTCTTAGCAATAGCTCGCTACATCCGTCAGTATTCATGCCCTTGTAGCCCTGACAGATCTGTGGTGGTTAAGCAATGCAAGCTGGCAGATAGAAGCAAGGACTGTCACTGTAATTATTGATACCACACTCAAGAGCACGTTTGTTTTTTCCAGCTGCACCCATTGCTGAAGCAGTTGGTATCACCTTTCTGCATATTTTTTGCCTGCAGGATGCTTTTCTCTGGATTCTGACAGACCAGCACTTGCAGATATATTTACTACTACAGAAATGATACTGGACCCTCAACTGAGCTCCTTTTTTTCCTCTAGTACCATTAACCTGAGTAGCTGGGGGAGCAGCTGAGGGTCCGCTCCAATATTTTGTGTGCCCTCCAGCACATGTACAACACCCCTGCCACAAAAGCAAGCAAGCAACACATCAAGCAGAACCACCAAGAAGCCAGATGGATCAGTTTCACGATGACTCAAGGACGGCAACCTAGACCCAGACAGTTCCAGTATAAATCTATATGCAAAGAGAGATTGCACCAAGTCCAAAGCCCTCGGCCATAATTTGCAGCCAGCTGGGCCAGCAGGGCCTCTTCCTGCTCTGGTTAAAGTCAGCAGCCAAGTTTCCATTGCCTTTGCTGGAAACACCTGCAGAGCACAGCAGCTGTGCCAATCTGCCAGGGGCAGTGAGGCAGGAATAGCAGCCCTGTGCGGAACTGCAGCAGGGAATCTGATGTGCATGAAACACAAACACCAATGCTGGGATCTGGCCAGCGCAGAAAGGCAACAGATGAGAGGTCTCAGCAGCTGGGCTGGCAGGGTAAGAGCAATCTCCAAACTGAAATGCTGAAGATCAAATGCTAAAACTGGTGAAGGAGGTGTGGCTGTACTGGAGTAACCACCTTAGCTGGGAACCTCAACGTTGATCTTTGAGATCCCAACAGTCCTTTCTTCTTTGCCCATATGCTCTCACCTTAAGCACATCCCTTCCTCTTCCTCTCGGTATTTCCATGAACATCTCCACACTGGAGAACACATGGCCTCCCTGGTCAGTAAGCAACATCACCACAGCAAACCACCCCTTCAGTGGACAAACAAATGGGTGGAAAACATGACCAAAGCCACACGTCTTCCTGGCAGACGGAGTAAAGCAGCAAAGAAGCCACTGAGTCAGGAGATAGGAGGCCTCCAAGAGAGAGACCTGAAGTGGTTGTGTGTGGGTTCATTGCTCTGCTGCTGACTGACATCAGGCTCTTTGGGCTCAGAGAGATGTTTCATTTTAAAGGGAAAACTCCTCCAGGCATCTCATTAGCACCATCATGAAAAGACAGAAAGGAACTGGAGGTTGGTGGAGGAGTGATGGTGGGGAGGGAAACAAGACAGAAGCACCGTCAAGCTGCATTTAAATTGGCAGGGGAAGGAGCCTGGGAGCATTCTGCCCTCTTGGGACAGCCTCGATGGCCCAGGGGAGGTCTGCCTCCTTCCCATCTGCAGGGTGAGCGGCTGGGTCTGGGGGACAATGTCCAGGAGAGCATGCGGCCCAGAAGCTCAACCTGAGGCACCTACTCACCCACCTGTGCTCCTGGGGCAGTTTCCCCCCTGCCAAATCCCTCCTCCTCCTTGTGCTCTCACTCTTCTTGGGGTCTGTCCTCCTCCTCCCTCCCATCACTGGCTGGACACTGTTGCTTGTAGGGGAGGGAAGCTCGGGCCAAGTTCTTGCTTCTACAACCGGCAGCAGAAGACAAGGGACCCGTGGCTGTGTTTGCAGCGGCGGGAGGCGCATTGGCTCTGCAATGCTGAGGATCAGTTTGACACAGGATCCTGGCAGCCCTACACATCTTAAGCTGGTTGGTCCCTGAAAGCTGCTTCCACCTTTCTGAAGTCTTCACTGACAACATTGCAAGAAGGGGGGGAAGCAGTCTGTGAAAGAGCAGTTTAGTGGCTCCAGAACACGGGTAGATTCCCCTCTATTAGGCTGAGAAAAGTCACAAAAAGAACACCCAAAAAAAGCAAAGAACCCACAAAAATAGGAGGAAAAAAAATCCATCTTAGTTAATTCAAAGCGAACATCTTAGTTATAAATGCAAATCAGCTTTAGAAATTCAGAGAGACTAAGTTAGGCCCCCTGTGCTACTCCTCACCAGAGGTAATATTCGTTATTACAATTTCTTCCATGTAGCATCATAAAATGACAAATAGGACTGTGCTTCTTTCAAGTACAGCCTGTTCAAAGCAATCAGTGAGTCTTGCTTGGAACACCTGGCAAAGGAGAGATGTATTCATCTCCCCATGTCTTGAAGAAATCTAGGAGAGATGTTTATCAAGGAAATGACTAATACAAATGGTTTGGCTTTCAGCACACTTGGATATACATACAGCAGGTTCCAGCACAGGTTTCTAAAAAATTAATTAGCAGTGAGTGGGAAAAGGAGTTATGAGTGTTATTCTCTGTGCTCCAGTCTTGTTTAACTTAATAAAAATGATTGAACTATAAGATCCCAGTGAAACGCCTCCTAAAATTAAGTGTTTCTCCAGAAATGGAGCTGTAGGAATGATCAGGTATTCTAAACTCTATCACGTTTCAGCTCTTAACACCAGATAGCTGACAAGACTGACAGACTCTCCTAAAACATTTGGCTTGTTTTGTTATCATTAAAAATCAATGGGACTTTGGATTCTAATTTATCCAGCTGAGCTCTTCTCTGCTTCTGTAAGCACCTAAAATACGAAAATATGCCATAAAACTATTCAGTTTATTCTAAATTTTAATGAAAATCTAACACTAAAAGTTTGGAGAAGACAAAACTTTGAATTTTCCCAGAAGGTTGCTTTGACTTGCAAGCCCCCCAAGCAAGCTGCAAAAAAAAGCGAAAGCTACCTCAAAGCAGTTGGCCTGGCAACCCTGGTACGAACTACCATGTAACTATCTTCTCCAACCAAAGTGTCTCTTTTAGAGCCCGATACATCATTCAAGAACAGCACATTTATCACTACAGACAGTAAAGCATAGCTTTAATGACTGACAACCTGTCCAGAGAGGGATCAGAAGCCCTGCTTGCTCCTGGTTGACCACTTCAAAGAGCTCCCACATGCTGACCAGAGGGGCCTGAACTGCAGCCCTGCCTGATAGCAGCACCCTTCCCACCAAGGCTTGGAGAGTGGGAGCACAGTCCTGCCTCCCATTCCTTGGGATTCACTCCTGGTTTCCATAAGCACAGAGCAAAGGAGAATGAGGCCTGTCAAATTCATAATGATGTATCGGACCCCGAGCACTTTAAATTCTCCAGGGGGCAGTGACCAAACACAACTGCTGGGAATTAGTCCTTCAGGTCACCTCTTAATGTCATAGGGCAAGCAACAGTCACCAAAACCCAAGCTGGGCAACCAGTGCCTCGGGCAGTGTGATCTTGCCAGCGGTGATCTTGCCAACTAAAACCAGAGAAAGAAAGTTCTGGGTATAAACAGCAGCTGAGCTTTTCAGAAGTAGCAAACCTTTCCTGTGACCAACCAACACCAGATGATCTCTACTGGAAAGCAACCACCTCCATGGTTCAAACACCTCACAGAACGTTTTCCCTCATCCATCACCACACCAGGAAAGTAACCACAAGGTCTTGTGCAGTGCCAACAAAGATAACAGAGTGTACTCAAGCAACTAGCATTGGCTTCCTCTCTGTGAAAACTCTGGGCTCAGCTGCTGTGGTAGCAGAAATCGGCAGGGGTTAATAGGTAGGGAGAGAGCTGGAGAAAGCAGCATTGCCACTACAGAATCAACCAAGTGACCCACAGTCTTGGGCATGCTGATATGTGAGCTTGGCTTTTCCTAGGCACTCTGCATGTTACAGCAGGCAGCCATCAGGGCAGCTGGCTCCAACCCTGCAGCTTCCCTATGGACACCTCTGCAGAGCCCTCAACTCATGAATCTATTTCAGGTTGCTCTTAAACCACCTCATATAGATAGGAAAAAATCCCCAGTCTGCTCAGCTGGTGCGTTTGAAGTGTCAGAAACATCACTAAGGCAATAAAGTCTTTTTTTTCTCTCTTTTTTAATCCCTCCTGTTAAAAAAAATAACTTGCTCAGAAGCCGTATTTCTGTCTCTCTCATACACACACACACTTTTTGTGTCAAAAAAGGTCACCAGCATTGCAATTATGTTCTGTGGGATCACATGTCTGTTGGTAAACACCCACAGAGCTATCAGGCACCCCTGTGGAGGCACAGGCATTGCAGTAGCAGTCAGGTACAAAACAAAATGTTAAATTTCCTCCCTGGATGCGGGTCATACCCTGCCAAGCTCGTTCAATCAGTCTGTTACAGTCACAGCACTGGGACATCCATGTCTACACCCGGGTTGAATTTGGGCTGGGCCACTGTTCAGCTGGGGTAAGGATGTAGGTCAATTTAAAAGCCTGGTGGGTATAAATCATCACATTTGATGTCCCAGCAACGGACAACGTATCACCCACCACCCATCCCAATTAGTCACCACATCCGAAACATTTAGACAGCGACCGTAGATGCTCCTTATGCGGTGCTGCCCTGCAGAGGCCAAGGTGGCAAGGCTTTCCTGAAATGGACCTCTCCATGAAATATGTGGTGTTGAAGGTGGTGCTAAGAGGAACAGTGTCTTTCCAAGAAAGTCACCTCTTTTTGGAGTAAAAGCAAAGCTCCAATGACAGAAACAAACCAGTGTCTTGCTCACTTCTCATGTGATACGTCAGGGCTACGCTCTGTCTGTGTTTGTTTCAAGAGGAATCGCAGGACGTCATCTGAGAGTCCAGGTGTTCTCCTTCTGTCTTCCAACAGGACTCCTCCTTCAGCTGGCTTTGAAAAACAAGCAGTAGTGGGGTAGTTTGGAAAGATCTTACACCCATCTCTGTTCAAGACCACCTGGGCCATTTGCAGGCAACGCGACGCATATTTTGTTCCACCCCGGTTTGCCAGCTCGGAAATCTTCTGTGACAGAGATAGTGATGCAGCCTCATAGGTGGGGTCTGTTTTGTCTGGCCGTTTTTTGCAATACATTCTGTAGAAGCCATCAAGAGACTTCCTGATGCCGGCATCTTCTTCCCCATCATGTTCATACATCCATGAAAGTTCAGCATCATTAGGTTCAGTGGGCTCACACAGCCTTGCTTTTGGATAACACCTCATGTGTGCTTTCTCAGGGCCTCCAGCAGAAAAGCTCGTAGGAACTGCAGAGGGTAGATTGCTCTCTCCTGCAAGCATAAGATTAATGAAACTCATTAGTCACCGGGTCATCCCTGTGGCAAAATCCTTCTCTGTACCCCTCACTGCAGTCTGGCAAACAGGCCCTGTGCAGGAGTGAGCTAAGTACTGCTTTAAACTTGGCTGGACTGCCAGAGGGGCTTGCTGCATAGATTCATATAAGATGGGCTGTATGTGGGGATCTCACAGTTGTTCCTGCCTTGACCCTCTGCAGTGACTGAACCTACTTGGTGGTATGGACCTCCTGGCTCCTCTCAGTCATACTTCCAAAGACCTGGAAACAGGGATCTGCTGCTGCTGGAGATAACAGCTGCCCCACAGGGAAGTCTAGTTTGCAGCTGAAGCAGTTCTCCCTCTGTTTTCGGTTTTCTCCCTTCATCCTCAGGTCTAATCCTTCCCTTTTCATAGTTCACAGTTTTACTCCTACAGTGTGCAGTCCTGTCCTCCAGCTTTCAGCTGTATCTAGAGCCTCCAAACCAACACTGTTAGGGTGACGGCACAGTTTGGAAATGGGGCCTGCAAAAGGAGACCTTGTGCTTCCCCAGGAAGTCCCATTTTTGCAGCTCAGCTGTACTAAACGCTCTCCCCACATTCTGCAGGGATTTTTATAGATAAATTTATGTAAAGGCTGAGGACTCATTCTTGCTTAGCTCTTCTCCTTCTTCCTTGCTGACCCACATCTCTGGACAACAGTCAGGGCTGTGGTCCCCTTCTGTTCCAATGCAATCAAGGGGCATGCTTGGGACTTGCACATAATAAGGCATCAGCACAGAGACACTTGGCGATGATGTGACCAGGACAATCAGCAAGCCACGCACAGCTTCTAGTAGGAAAAGCCTCCATAAAGGGACCTTGAATCAGGCTCTGGTACCCAGGGAGCGCCTCTCATCTCTGAGCCCGCCATGCCAGCCTATTTGCCAAGCACCTGAGTCACCGACAAGAAGATTTTCCTGGGCTCAGCCAGAGGTTGCACAGCCGTCATCTGCAGTTACATAAGCAGGACACAGAAAATAGCTTGGTCTTTTCTAATTCTGTGAAATATGGAAGCAGAGAGCAGTCCTTCACTTCGATACGAGACCATGTTCAAAGGAAATCTCGGCGCAGTGGCAGAAGGCTGTTCTTTCCCTCCCAGTACACAAAGAGCTACCCGCCCCTTCCTGAGTGGTCAGAGATTCATTAAAATGAAATGAGGATGTCTGTGCATCCATACTGTACAATGCCTCTTTCTTCCTCCCCCTACTTGCTATCTTTGATCTTTCTTTTCAATTTCACTTCATCTCCAATTCTGCAATTTTAAACAGAACTTTTCCTCCTTTTGCAATGTGTCATTTCCACTGCAGTATAAAGAAAAGCTGTGGCCTTCTTTGAACATCGATATATGCCATCAGAGTAGCAAATCAGAGCTAATCAAAGAGAACAGGTCCATTTTGCCTCAATAATCTCTCAGCCTTGGTGCCTATGTTAAGTTAGAACTGAAGTCTCATGCATCTCTGGCAATTCAATCAAGTGGCACTTACGCTCAGACTCCTGTAGCAGTTGCAAACCCCTGTGCCCTGCTCTCTTCTTGCTATTTCTTACCCGCCGCCCACCGCCGTATTTTGTAAAAGAGTAGCAGCTGCCTCCAGCTACAAATGTCAACTCTGTATCATCCGGGAAGAGCAAAATCCTGTTGGTTTCATGGTGTCAAGGGAGACCTTTGCAATGCTGTTCTCCCCTGCTCTGGCAATCTCAGATTAGATATTAGGAAAAATTTATTCCCTGAAATGATTATCAAGTATTAGAACTGGCTGCCCAGCGAAGTGCTTGAGTCACCATCCCTGGAGGTATCTAAAAGACCTGTAGATGTGGCACATACGGACATGGTTTAGTGGTGGACTTGGCAGTGTTGGGTTTACGGTTAGACTTGATGATCTTACAGGCCTTTTCCAACTTAAATCATTCTACTCTATTCTGTCCTGTTCTATTATAAGCCAGTATAACCTATAAATCAGCCAGCCTCTCATGAAGCACAGTCCACTTACGAACTGACTGGGTGTATCTTGGGGTTTGATTAGTCAGTAAGTACTCAAATATATTATTGGGAGAACAGCTTTCTTCCAGTTACTGATTCAAATTTATGCATCTCTCTTTTTTAACAGTAGGCCCCATCCTCTTAGTGGATTACTTTTCCAGCAGAGCCTTCTTAAGGCAAGACATTAAAAGTTAGTCCCAGAACACCCAGAACCAAGCTGTATCTTGTGAAGTTGCACCTTTCCTCAGCTTTCCTGGCAATTTCTCAATACCTTCTCCAACTATGTGTGAAGACTGATCTTTGAAAATACACTCAACCCCCTTCCTCCCTACAAAATAGCAGCTGAGGTAGAGGTCCTTCCTCGACACTCTCTAAAGAACTGATACTGCTGTTGTAATGCACAAATTTCCTGAATGATTTATAAACCACAGGGCACAAGCCCAGTAGCTGGATGCCTGCAGAGTCTAGAAAGAGCTTCTCGGCTGGGGCAGACATACAGCACACAAGCACAAACATGCTGCTAAAGGCAAAGGCGGCATTAAACTAACCAATCCCTTTCCCTCTCCATTCACCTGCAGTGGAGTTTCATCACCACAGAATCTGGCTCAAATTATTTTTAGCTATTTTCACTCATTTATACTACCAAGTGTGTGTTAAAGGGGAAAAAAAAAAAAAACAAACAACAAAAAAGCCCCCAAAAACTAAACCAGGTCATTACCCATGTCTTGATTTCATTCTCACATGATGGATAATCATCAGTAAGAATGTATATTATTTCATTTGAGCCTCCACTC